AACGCGTGACCAAAGATTTATAGAGCGAGACCGGCAGCGAAAGGTTTACACGTGCAACGAGGTAGCGTAACTCACCGGGACAAGTGACAATTCCGCGGTTGAGCGTAAACAAGTAATTGCACCTGGTGAGACAAAGGCTTGTTTCGAGTAGAAAAAGCCTCGTAGGCAAAAGGCGAAAGTGCCGCGTTACTACATCAGTGGTCAGGTCAGGTGGGCTCCTAGGACGCGCAGCTGAGGCCATGTACCGTCCAGTTTCTTGCACTGATGAACTGAAATCGTGTTTCAACAGGTTATCGTCTGTATTCGTCGTTGTTCTTCGTCTGCGAAAGAGTACGGGCAGCAGCCCGTATACTCCGTCAGAGGAGCCAGTCATTCGTTGTGCAGATTGGCGCCGCTTATCCGACGTTGCACACTCCCCTCGTGGTTGATCTCTCCAGCAGGGTCTCTGACAAGTCGAGAGTTGAGGTGTGTGCTCCAGTATAAAATCAAAAGTACAGCCCTTGTAAAATGTGGAGTTTAAGAGCAAATAGATTAAAGCAGGACGAAAGGAAACAAAGTTGAATAACTAGTCTGAGGACACTCCTAAAGATGGAGATCCTCGGGGAACACTTCCTCCCAACACTGGTTGAGTCGGAGCTTGAAGACGGCAACTGTTCCTGCTGCTACCACATCTGTAGGGACCTTGTTCTAAGCGTGAGAAAATGGTTACTCTATTGATCATACTCGGTCTGGGTTTGTCAAGCTTCCACGCGCGCTTTATCAGTGCTGGGTTTCCACTGAGGCTAAAGAGAGGTTTATCTGTTGTCGTGAATCCCTTTATCAATTCAAAGGCCTCCACTTCCCCTCTCATCCTCCTTTTGAGGGAGAATAGCTTCAGCCTCCGAAGCCTCTCCGCGTAGCTCAGGTTCCTAAGTCCTACGACGAATTTCGTGAAGCGGCGCTGTGGTAGGTGTGTCCCGAACCAGCTCCGGTGGCCATGCTTGGATACAATATCCCAGGTGGGGTCTCACAAATGCCTTGTATAAATGCATTGTTACTCTGGTCTCCCTTGAGGCAACTGTACGCAATGGTTCGTACAGTACTCAGTTTGCCTTGGTGGCCGCAGCCCGGCATTGATTGGACGGCCTGAAGTGATGGATCATTAGGTTCTTCAACTTACGGGACTAGCCTGGGGTTCTCCGGATTCAGGTGTCGGTCCGCCGGTATCCGTGCGGTAAGTCGCGGTCCCCAGCGTGATTTGGACCCTATAGTCCGGGATACAAGCGCCGCCACCGTTACCGGACTTTGGTGGTCATCATCACCATCATCGTACAGAGAGATACAGTGGAGCGAACTTCACTGGTCACTGCTAAGCTCACAGTGTATACAAATCAAGTGATAAAGCACAAGATGGAAAGGGATGGGGCCTAATTGGAGGGAGGCGAAGAAAAAGAAACTCTATGGTCCAGACGGTACACAATGGAACTCGGCATACATACATTTCAAGCATTCTGACCTGATAAGAAATGACAACAAGAACGCCACTGCTGTCGGTTCGCT